GAACTAGAAAAGATTCTAAAATGCAAAGATATACAACTCAGCCCAAAAAGTTAGAACCAGACAAGCCATTGTATTCCCTATTGCCATGTATGGATGTGAGAGCTGGACAGTTAAAAAAGATGATAGGAAGAAAATCAATTCATTTGAGCTGTGGTGCTGGAGAAGAGTGCTGAGGATCCCATGAAAAGCCAAAAGGAAAAAAGAAAAAAGGAAAAAAAAGGGGGGGTGTCTTAGAGCAGATCAAGCCGGAAACCTCCCTGGAAGTCAAGGTGACCAAACTCAGGCTGTTGTACTTCGGACACACCATGAGAAGAGAAGAATCATTAGAAAAGACAATAATGCTGGAAAACGTAGAGAGAAGTTGGAAGAGAGGAAGGCCACATGTGAGATGGATGGACTCTATTAAGGAGGCCACAAGAATGGGGGTTGCAGGATTTAAGCAGAGCAGTGGAGGACAGAGGGTTTTAGACATGTCTCATCCATAGGGTCACCATGGGTCGAGATCAACTTGAAGGACATACTGGGTATGTTAGATTAACACACTGCATACAATTCTTGAAAAATTAGATCCATAATCAAGAATTATAAAGCTAAGGTAATGACAGGAAATTTCAGCTCTGGTTTGTCCTACTATTGCCTGCATGTTTTCAAGCAATGTTGTTTATCTCTTGCTAATGAAAGATGAAAAATCAAATACTGAATACATCCAACATGGATATGTTATCCATCTGAAGATTTTTTTAAAAAATGATGTTACACTTTAATTTTAATTTATAGTTGTGCTTTTCGAAGTAAGTGGAATCATAGGAATGCAAACTGCTTGTGGGGTGCAGTCTGACAGCCTAGTTAGATCATTTGAACATAGTGAGTAATGTGTGTCATCAATTTAAATTCATCCCCTGAAGAACCTACTTGCCTGGTTGTTAGAGATTAGGGTGGTGGCTGCATGGGTTATTAGAGAGTAAGATGGAACAGCCCAGAATATTGTGGGCCCTGTTACTTAGGCACTCCATTGCACTGTTTGCACTCATGTTCTGCTGTGCCACCTGGTGCCAATGCTGCTGCCACACATCTCTGGAGATTATCACACTGCCCATTTCCATCCTTCCTTACTGACCTAGGTGCAGGATGAAAACTTTTAAGCATGGGCTTTTTCACATGCCCAGGCTGGAGGCATCCAATACCCAATCATGGCATCCCATACCCAATCTGGGCTTCTTTGGCATTTTTTGAAAGAACAGGATTTTCCTGTTCTTTGCAAAGTATAGAAGAAGTGCTGGAGAAGCCTGGGCACAGAGGCATGTGATAAAAACTGTGCTTAAAAGTTTTCAACCTTTGCCTAAGTTGTGAGGGTAGAAAGGAAAAGGGCAGTGTGATAATCTCCTCTCACTCAGAATTCAGAACAAGGCACCCAGTGACTTGGAGCAGTAGTGGCGAAACCGGGTGGTATAGTGAGACACAACAGAAGGCTTCATATCTTCCGTGAAGATCTGGAGTGAAAGGTGAATTTTAAAAAACATGTTTTAAAATGGGTGTACAATAGGTTTGGTACTGGCCAGATGTTGTCCAGACTGATCACACCAGAACTGGGGATTGGCCCATGTCATCAGAACTCCTTGCCATGGGAACACGGAAGGCCATGTTATTTGGCCTGTGCAGACAGGGCCTAGGAGTGTGCAATTGTGGCCCTACAGGTTTGTTTTTTGTTTTGTTTTGGTTACTCACAACTCATATAATTATTTATCATCAGCTATACTGGCTAAGGCTGATGCAAGCTGTGGGCCAACAACACCCAGAAGACCACAATTGTAAATGCCACTTATAGGTGATTGGCTTACTGCAACCCTCCTGGCCACTGTAGTCTATAAACCAAGTCTGATGGGATAGCGTAGTGCACTGTGTGTGTTTCCTCTTCATGTATCAGAAGTGGCACGTAGGAGTTTTAACAAGAGAAGCCTGTTAGAAGGGAAACAAAGCGATAAGTAACAAATTTAACAGCCAAGGGAGTACACAACTGTAGTGGAGCCAGGATCTACCAAGGTAGATCACTGGGATTCCCTTGATCTGCATGGATGATGTCATCATTTGCCATCCCCTTCAGATTTCCCTCTCCCTTTGCAGTTTAGGAAGGGGAAAGATTATATTATTGTAAATTGTCCCTGTTCTAATGCAAAGTATTCTGGGGTGTCTTGAGTTGCACCTGCACTGCAGAAACAATGCAGTTTGAAACCACTTTAATGGCCATGGCTCCATTTTATGAAATCTGGGATGTGTAATTTGTTGTGACACCAGAGCTCTCTGACAGAGAAAGCTAAATATCTTGCAAAACTACAAACTCCAGAATGCCATAGTATTGAGCATGGCAGTTAAAGAAGTGTTAAATTGCATTAATTCTGCAGTACAGATGCAGCTTTGGTTTTGAGTTGGCATTTAGGATCTATTAGTTTTACAAAAGACCTCCTTGTGATAGCGACAAAAAGTGTTAGAGAACTGGTTTATTTATAAGTGCAGCTACCTGCATATTTGGATCTTCCTCCAGAGCATGTCTATGTGGACCTGTCAGGAAGAGCAAGTGGTTTTCAAAGTTTGTCACTACACCATTATGTGTATCATCAGGGTAGTGATAACAGTGGGAATGAAATGCTGTGAGAATGAAAAGTACATCTCGGTGAAAGCATATTTAATGTATTGCTTAGCTTGCCCCTGGGACTGAGAAATTTACAGTGACAACAAGCATTATACATGCAGATGTGCTATGCTGCCTCTTGGCAGCAAGGCACACCCTCAGGGAGTATATCACACACAAACTCCTCCAGTTTGGTATCCTTCAAATGTGCTCGCTGACTAGAAATGATGGGAGTTGCAGTCTAACACATCTGCAGGGGATAAGGTTGGGGAAGGCTTCTATATATGCTGATTGGACTTCTGCAACTGGAGAGGGGGAATTTCCTCTGGTAGACATTTGTAGAATGCAAACTGTATATACTGGCTGTTGCTATTGTTCTTGTGTGCCTTCAAATTGTTTCTGACTTATGGCGACCCTAAGGCAAACCTATCATGGAGTTTTCTTGACAAGATTTGTTCAAAGGAGGTTTGTCATTGCCTTCCCCTGAGGCTGAGACTTGCCCAGGGACACCGGTGAGTTTCATGTCAAAGTGGGGAATCAAACCACGGTCACCAGAGTTGTAGTCCGACACTCAAACCACTGCACCATGCTGGCCCTCATATATATTTAACTAGAATATAGATAGATATAGTCATCATTTTATATGTGTGACAAGTGTAAAATGATCAACAAGCTCCGTGCTTCAAACATGTTACTAAAGAAATAAAACTGGGTGCATGATATTATGTGGATGCACTAAATTCCATTTCTGAGTTTCATTTCCTGGTTGGCGAGTGTAAAGGGACACAGGAACCATCATACATTAGTCAGCCTCACCATTTACTCCTCTCCCCAGTAGCAGAATTTTCATAGAAACAGAATCCAGCTAGATGACAGTTTGGCCTTTGGGAGAGAAAATCAAGAAAGGCAATCAGCCTGCAAGTTTTGCATTTGTTTGAAGCAAGTATAATTTATGGCATTGACCTACATGCTCTTGTACTTAGAAAAAAAACATGCTCCAATTTTGCCTGGGCGTGGGGGAAAATTGGTGACCAATACAGTTATCACTAGACAGGTAAGTAATTGCCAGAAGTAACTTCAGCATTGCTGTAAATATTGATCATAGTTTGAAGTTGCCTGCTAGAGTAAGCACGTTTTCATGAAACAATTTTCAGGAATCAGTTTTTGTTTATGCTCAATACGGATGATTGCTTCCACGCCTTCATAAAAGGAGCGCAGCACATTAGGCAGTGACCCACAGATTCCTTGAAGCTTGTTAAATATGTGGTGTATGTAATCCTAAAAAGGTCAGTGCACATAGTCACAGTTTCACTGCACAAAAGAATCATTAGGAGTGAAGGAGAGAGAAGGGTGAGTTAATTGGATGTGTGAGTATGTGTGCATTGTGTGTGTGTGTGTGCTAATAAATGAAAGATTTTTTCCCCCTAGGGCAAGTAGTTGAGCTCTGACATTCTGTTGCCTTTCTGCCTTCTGCAGTTCTATAAAAGAATTAGGCATTTGATGATATGAGTCATTTTGACAGTGGCAACAAACTCCTAGAAGGTAATGATGGTGGTGATGTGGTGGTTGTGGAGGAGGAGGAGGACTCACCTTCATTTGAAGCTTTTATGCAGAAGCTGTTTGGCAACCACTCAGTGATGCTGCATTAGTGAATTTTATACAGGGAAAAGTCTAGATGATATTTAGTGTAGCTTCCAACTTTGTGTTCCCATTCATTCAAACAGTGTTTGTCAAGTGTAACCGTTAAGAAAGGCTTATGATATTGGCATAGTGGTCCCTTTTATTGTACATGATGACAGAGGTGTGTGGAAGTAGTCTAAATATACTGGAATTTAAATCAGGCAGAATGATGTCAGAATTTTATTTAGAGACTGAACAGGTTATGCCTCATTGGCAAAGAACAGAATTTGACCTCATTAACCAAGAAGGGAAGATGGTTGACCATATGCAAAGAAATAGTGGAATGCCAAAGGACATAATTCAGGTCTCATTGTTGACCTATCTACATCATACACTAGCAAAGTGATGGCAACAATAGGTGCCTCAAGTCTGTTACAAACATTGATCCACACAAAAATATATACACATAAATGCACACATAAGTGTAAAAGAGTCCTATTTCTGAATGGTAAGAAATTGTCAGAAATCATAGTTATATTTCTATAACTTAAATATAGTAAATACAAATTTATTCCTCCCTGCTCAGGATAGCAACTGGCTCTAATATCTTGGCTCTGTACCATCTTGTCATACATATCTTGAGCTGAAGCCCCTGACTCTGGCACCTCTATCCGGATAAAGATCTTAAATACATGGGCTCAATTCTGACTCATAATTGAACCATAAATTATTATTATGTTGACAGGGATAACTTAGCCACAGTAATCCATGCACTGGTGATTTCCTGATTAGACTACTGCAATGCACTCTGTGTGGGGCTGCCCTTGAAGATGACTCAGAAACAACAGCAGCAGCTAGACTGCTCACTGGGATTCCATTCAGATACTATATAACATCAGCTAAAGGAATTGCACTAGCTGACAATACACTTCCAGTATGAATTCATAGTCCTGGCAATAACATTTAAAACCCTAAATGACTTGGGACCTTGATACTTGAGAGAGCACTTCCCTCTATATATGGCTGCCCAAAATTTGAGATTAGAGGGGCCCTTCTCTGTGTCCACCCTGTAGAGGAAATACATTGTGTGAGGATATGGGAGAGGGCCTTTTCTGCAGTGGCACCCCAAATGTGGAGCTCCATCCCTATGGAGACTCAACTGGCATCAACACTGGGATCATTTCCATGCCAAGTCAAAACTTTGCTTTTTAAAAAAGCCCTTTGGGTCAGAATGCATATGTCTTATGACTGTTTTTAACTAGTTTTAAACCATTTGATTTTTAATTGATAAACTAATATATTTTAAATCATTTTGGACTATTGTTACTATTTATTGTTTGAAATTGATGTTATTGTAAGCTACCCTGAGATCTTCAGGTGAGGTAGGTGATCACCATTTCCAAAGCCCATTGGGAAATGCAATGTCTCCCTCCTAGAGATTTCTCTTTATTTTTACCCTGATTATTCTGTTGTCCCCCTCCTTCATTTCAATGGTCTAAGAGGCTGGACTAAGGATGGTTTCTGTTCCAAGCCACTGTTGGAAAACAAAGAGTCTGCAACAGAGATTAAACCCCTATTGCTAGTGGAAACACCTCCAGTAGTACTTGTTGTGTGTATATAAGTCACTTCTGATTTATGGCAACCCTATCATAATGCATAACTGGCACCCACAACACTATGATAGGGTTGCCATAAATCAGAAGTGGCAAAATTTGTTTAGAGGGGGTTTGCCTTTGCCTTCCTTTGAGGCTGAGAGTGTTACTTGCTCAAAGTCAGCCAGTGGGTTTCCATGGCTGAGGTAGGGATTCAAACCCTTGTGGCTCTCACCAACTACTCCTGATTTCAGGAGTCTTCACAGCAGATGTGCTGCACCACCAAAGGTGAAGATTCCTCATTTTATTAAAGATAAAATCAAAGGAGGATGGGGTTGGAAACAGGTATGGTATGAAATAGGTATTAATAGCCTATTTAATTTTATGTTTATAGTTTATATCTTAACATATATTGTTTTATATTTAAACACTAAAAATTGGCAGCAGGTACCAAAAAAGTCTCTCCACAATGTATTACAAATATCAAACAAGGGAAAAATGCTGACGGCACAGAGCACGTTGGTGAAAGCCTGAAGGAATAAAAATTTGATCTTGATATGTCAAAGACAAAATAGCACTGAGACCTCACTCCAATGGCCAGGAGTCAGGCTCAGGCTGTGTCCATACTGATAGGAAAACCCAGCTTACAGTTGGGACTTCTGGATCTATGGGAAGGACAAGCTGTCTGCATAACTGGCACCCACTACAGTCCAATACCAGCAGCACTATCCACACACTCCTCAGATTACCTTGTTTTTCATGGCTTGTTGGGGCAACAGCCATTCTGTTGAGCACTGATGTGTTGTATTGATGGTATTGTTTTGCTAATGTGTACTTGTGTGATCAATTTGCTTTGGTGTGATGTCTTGATGGTATTGTGCTAAAGTGCACTTGTACTATCAATTTGCACATCTGCAAAAGAAACGGTGCCAGAGAAACCACACAACAGAAAAAGTGCTATGGCAGGATGTTGGAAGTTTTGGGAGGTAAGATGTCAGCAACTCACCCCCCATCAACTTTCCTCCCCATCCCTGCATGAGCTCAGAGTCCACATGCTCAGAGGATTCTCTGGAGTTTTCATACTGATCCAGAGTAAAAAGGATTCTGGAGAAATGCCCTGGATTGCAGGTGGAGCCTGTGTTTTGCCTGTTTTGGCCCCATGTGGAAACACTTCTTTCCCTCCATGTGGATGCCATCTTAATCATGCTAGAGAAGCATGTTTTTTTTTTTAACAGTTTTATAAAACCTTTCTGAAGGAGAAAAAGTGGCAGAAATACATGGAAGTATGAATAACACTGTTCATTTCCTTCACCTTTCCATGTTTTGAATCACTGTTCCACCCCTTGCAAACATCTGAAGGATATTATTTTAAAAACCAAACTGCAGGAAAGGACTCAATTTCTCTTTCCACACACATCTGTGGACATCACAACATCTATACAAAATAGCTTTGAAGTAAAACACTATATGCCAATCTTTTGGATTTCTGTTTTACATTTTACTGGAATGAATTTAGTCACTTGTCATATAGGATTGATTAGCACCCATGAACAGGACCTATGTTTTGCTTGAGACCTCGCCTAATGATGTACTGAAGAGGCTTTTATTCCAGGATAACTACAACTGAGTTAGTTCATTCCTGGACAGTGTTTTTCAAGTTTTGTACCTCCTAGGATTTCTGCAACTATGGCATGTGGCATCCACAGGCTGGAGTCTTGAGACACTGAATGTTGTGCCAATCTTCCTGTAAAACTTTTTTGAGAGAGGGTTGCTGAATTGCCCTGGGAAATCATAACAAATTGTTTGTATTCAGCAATGTGTCTACAATACACACCAAATGAAATAAATGTCTTGCTTCACCTACTTATGAAATGAGTCAATAATTTCAAGAGAGAGAAGGTATGACAGAAACAAATGGCCAAAATGAAAAATAGTTAAAGGGGTAATAGATTTCCAATCTATGTCAAACTATCCTATGAAAGTTCTTAGTGTTTTCAAGCCTTTTGATACATTAGACAGGGCATTAAAGATGCAGATACCATAAATTATGCATGGTAGAAATGGGAGATGCCTGAACTAAATAATTGAGAGAGTGTAACAAAACAAAATGACATGATGACAACAGTACAAGAAAATGATGCAAAAAGTTGAAAATAAAGAGTTGATTTGAATTCTATGCCCTGATTTTCTTAAAATGGTATGTTGCTTCAATAGACATAGATGATCGTTTAAACATACAGTTTTTCTATATATATTTCCAACATCTAGAACTTCTGGACAATGAAGGTCTCCCTCACTGCCAGGATAAGCCAAACTTGTTGAACTCTTCCATGGTTATATATACCTCAAGCTACTTTCGGTACTTGTTAGCCTGCAGAAATA